CCCCCCTCTCTCATGTACTCACTCTCTCTCATTCTCTCTCTTTCAAATAAATAAATAAAATCTTTAAAAAAAAAAATGTGCTTTTAAAAGCATCAAATGCATACTAAGCACTCAATAAATCATGATAATTAGCAGTAGTCATGATATTAAATAAAACCTATTGAACTCTATGTACCAGGCACTAATTAAGTTCCTTTACAAAAACTATATGGACAAGAAAACAAAAAGTACATTAGATTTAAATTTAGACATGTTTAAGACATTAAAGTGAAAGAAAGATAATCATAATTACCTATAAAAAAACATGCAATGAGACACAGTTATAGTGAGAGTCTCTGTACTTTACTCTTTCACTTTAAATATGCTTTTACTGCATGACTCACTGAAAACACCACTGTACATATGGAGAATCTCACAGTGAAAAAGAACTTCAGAAATCATCTATTTTAACCCTCCATTTACAAAAAAATGAAAATATGAGAACTGTTTTCACGACATTAAGACATTCAGGCACATACCAGGGAAAGGGGCATAGGTATCCAGCTGCTTAACGCCTTCTTCCAGTAAACTAAGGGCAAGCTCCAACATTGGTGACTCATTCAGAAGATGATACATCAGACTAAATCCTGGTGGCTTGTAGGCTATGATTTCTTCTCCTAAATAGAACACAACACAATCCAAAAGACAGTCAGTATTTTTGTCACACCCTTGATTTATATGTAATGTATGAGACTTGTAAATTAAATGGCATCTAAATGGGCAAGTTTCAATTCAAAGACAAGGACACAAATGGTATACAGCTGTAATTCCCAAAAGGGCTGTTTTGCTCATAGCAGTTAGTTACCTATAACATGTTAACTCATCAAAGAATCTGTAAGGCAGTGTTGTCTTTCATTTGGCGAAAGTTTATTTTCTCTTGCTCAGAACAATTAAAATAACTAAAATAATGTAACAAAAAAGATTACACTCTAACTTAATTCATAAACTTAGAAATAATTTGTATCTTATAGTTTATAAATTATAAATAGCTTTATAAATAGCTGACAGCTTATTTGAAAGTGACAGAATTAAATTACCTTGTAATTCCACAAACTGGTCTACAAAATCTTCAAGTTGAGGCTCATAATCTCTGAGCAATTTATAAAACACCTCCAAAACAACCTCAGCAACTTCCCACTACAGAAAGAAACAAATGTTACAGTAACAATAAAACAGTCCAAGGTGACAGCCTTGCTAGACTTTTCATTCCTCCCACTTTTCTCCAGAACATGAAGACACTTCGCCAAAGTGTCAAATATTTCATATTTTCTCTAAAAATCCTGGCTGTAAAGGGTCTGAGAAATCATCTAATCACCCTTATTTCACAGAGAAAGCAAGTGAAGCTCAGAGCATGAGTAACTTCCCCAAAACCATAAAGCTTGGTAGCAAAGGTACTGGAAATCAAGCCCTGGACTTCTATTCCCAGACCAGTATTCTATCTTATGGCTCTAGCCAAAGAAGTGAAGAAGACTCAATCACTGCTGGGCTTGCATCTAATGACCCCATTAACATCCTTCTGTTAAAAAACATTTTTAAAAACTATGTACAAGGAAAAATATTTATGCCAAGGGAAAAATATATACAACAGTATAGACAGTAAAATTAAAACTTTACTTTTAAAAAAATCCATTATATAGAATTTATGAAGGCTGAGGTTGGTAACTGTAGTTAGGGTGGCTTTTTTTAATTATTATTTTAAAATCATTTCCACTGCACATAATTTTATCAAGACTGAATTTGGGAACTGGGACTATACAGTGATTTTTTTTTAATTACTATTTTTTTTTTAAAGATTTTATTTATTTATTTGACAGAGAGAGACACAGCGAGAGAGGGAACACAAGCAGGGGGAGGAGTGGGAGAGGGAGAAGCAGGCTTC